TCCGTTGTCGGCTGAGATATTAGCATGGCACTGCTGAGGCTCGCCTGTGTTCGCATCAGTCCAGCACGACGTTAACATCATTTCTTACAGGGTATGCGTTGTCCGAGTAACACTTATGCGAGAGTGAAAAGCGTAAAGGGAGGTAAACCGGGGAATATCAATGATCTTACCGTAACTAAAAGGGCATCCACGAAGATGATGTGTTGGAACAAGAGACCAGTATTGTGGTGAATTAATGTTAGGAAGAAAGAAAGCTCCACTGTGTCGGCAGTGTGCCACTCAGAGGCAATCTTCTTCCTGAATGACAACAGATGTGCAGTGAACTCCACTCAGAACATGTCTCCAACGGTACTCTTCCGTTGCTGCAGACAGCTTCCTCGCCTTCCCTCCGTTCATGAGCTAAGTGGAGAGAGCCGTGAATCTGTGCTTATTTGTTATGGGCACTTGCAACAGCCTGGACACTTCTTCTATGGCGTGAGTAGGTTGCTTACCCTGGATCCCTCGCATTTGTCAGTACGAACGCCAAAGCGGCAAAAATAAATAAGAGGTTAAGCCAAAATATTAACCAGCGTATTCCCATCCACTGAATGCACACACGACAAAGTGACAAAAATAAATATTACACCAAAATATTATCCAGCATATTCCCATCCACTGAATGCGAATGCTAGATAAAAGCTATCCAGCACAAACTGACCACAAAAGATGCTACTGCTATAAACTTACCGATATACTTGCCCTTTGTCGGTAGTGAATGAGCAGCCACAGCAACAGGACTGTAGCGGCGACAAAAGATCTGGTGCTCCACACAAGCATGCGCTGAGTTTGAAACAACTCGCATGTGGCAGGTGATAGACGATCCATAGACAGAAAGGCGATTGACTCGTGCACAAATGCCACCTGCAAAGTTACACACAGATCGATCCCATTGAAATGCCGCTTCGATCACTTTTGCCCTGGGCAGTTGGACCACTGCCAAGTATGTGCGGCTTTGCCATGCGACGAACCACAAGGAACCACTGTGATCTACTGGTCCATCTTAGCCCACCAGGAATATGNGCTTTGCCATGCGACGAACCACAAGGAACCACTGTGATCTACTGGTCCATCTTAGCCCACCAGGAATATGATGATGGCCTGTTCAATTGCGTTTATGTGTGCTTTGTCTGAATAGAAACTGTGCTTGTAGCTGTCTTCCATGTCACTCGAACAAAACCTTAGTCGCACCATGTCGGTGCGAGCATTCAAACCAAATGCCCTCGTTAACCTCGATGACAGCTTGTGGCGCCCCATGTCACCATCTGCCCCATTTGCAAGCCTGTACAGTGGCTCCTCAACGTCTGCACGTCCAGCACCGCCAGTCCCAGCCCTTCTCCAAGGATTGTCCGCCGATGACGAAGCACTTCGGCTGCGATTCCGGTTCGCTGATCGCACCTGTCCAGCACTTCTTCGGCGCCTGCTGCTTGAACCGAACTGCGCTGGACTAAACACTGAAGCCACTGCATTGGTGATGCGCTGCATCCGCTCAGCGCCGCGCCAGCGTGAAGAGCGTTCATTAGAAAGTGTTGAGCGCCTGTCCAACGGAACTGACTCCTTTGCAAGTGAGACGCAGTCTGTGTTGCTATCGCAGTCATTCCGTCCGGATATATCTGCAGCTACACCGCCACCTATTGCATCTAAAGAGCTGGATGACTGATGCCGGGCACAGCACGATCGATTCGCAACGCAGTCAAAAGAAGATTCGCTGACAATACTCGCGCTTTGGCACCCAGCGCAGTGGAACGGCTCATCTACAACTGGAACCCCTCGAGACGTCCCGCCACCTGGGCTATAGCTCTCAGGACGGTCGGGGATCCTCTGGCAGGCAGCGTCTGGATATATGCTGCTCGACTTGGGCATGGCAGTGTTGGGGTCCTGCCAGTTGCGACTCCGATGCTGCCGTGGCCACTGAGACACACCATGGAAGTATGTGGAAACATCTTCACCCTCCTGGGCAAATACCAAACTACTGCTTCCAGCTGAAAGATTCCTACCGTGTCCTGCGGAGTCAGGAACACGGGCTGCAGCCTCATCAAACGGTGGACGCATGCCAACGACATGGTCAAGGAGATATGTCTGCATAGGACCTGAGCGCAGTGTGCACACCCCTAGTGAGAATACTTCTCCTCGGCGCCACCAAACAAATCAAAGTGGGGCAATGNGCGCAGTGTGCACACCCCTAGTGAGAATACTTCTCCTCGGCGCCACCAAACAAATCAAAGTGGGGCAATGGTACTACAGTGTTACCAGATAAAAGAGCGAGTTCGGCTCCAGCTCTCTGCCTCGCCCTTGCATTCGCTCACCTTTGCCTTTGACATCGACAATCATCTCCCGCCACTTAAACTGCTGATCATGAGCTACAAGCCTGTGTGTTGCTCCGCTTATGTGGATCCGGTCAGCCACACCTAAAACACATGCATTGCCACCAAACCGCTACTCACGAGGTGCGCCGACTACACCACAGAAGTCACTGCAACGTTCGACGTTGCCAAGCGCGCATGACGCCAGTTACGTGTGGTTCGAGCAACTCTCCGGACCACGGGCAGGACAGGTGAGTGTTCGGCACTCTCGACTAGAACGTACTGGTGCTT